GCCATGACACACGAAATTTGCAAGAGTTCTGGAATACTGCCAGATTTCCCAAGCCTAGACAGATGTGGTCGGGAGGCACAAGACCCACTGCTACTTGTCATTCTTTTACTCCAGAAACCCGTTTAAAGGCAAAGTGTTCCATGACTACGACCACGAGGATATCTACAAGGGTGTGGTGATTGACTACACTGGAAAAGTAAGTCCGTGTTCCGGTGCGCAGCAATCAAGTGAATTCCTGCATCATTTTACCATGTACCACAAGGTGTGGTACACAATATGAACCCTGGGACAGATTAATCAGTTTTACTATATTAAAGAATGATAAATCCACTTGGACGAAAACCAGTCATAAGGTCATGGAGAACTCTTAGGCTGCACATGACCGAGTTCACCCTTCTGCTTTTGGACTATCAAGTGGGTTGGCGTTCTTGTCAGAAGTACCACGAAATGTGCACGAGGTCCGAGGGTGCACGAATAATTTATCCGGGGAAATATACTGTGATATCCCGAGTGATGCACCAACAAATCCAAGCAGAGGGTTCAGGACAGCACATTCAGCTAAAGAAAATCATAGATAAGAGATGCTAAACTGTGATTCAGTTGAGTGATGACGGGTGATACTTGTTTAAAGATAGCGGCTATTGCTCACGTATGTTGCATTCCTTAACTACTGAGGTAGAGGAGGGCAACTTGGTAGTGCTTCCAGGTAGTCCACGTTCAACTCAACTATCAACCTTAGTCTTGAGGAGTAAATCCAAATGCCATGCTTCATAAACACACCAACAATCGAATTATTCAGTTTTCTTCACACAGCGATCATCGTGAATAAAATATGATTGAAGTTGGAGGGCACATCTTAGATTTTAATTATTTCTTAGGGTGAAAGTGGATGGTTACTGGGAAGAGAGTGAGTTTGAGGAACACCACTGTCGCTAGTATAATCGGTCATGCATGTTCATTCGTTTTAGGATGTCACACGGGATAACTTCGTAAAAGTATTAAAAGGCGATGATAAACTTGAAGGCCAACAAGAGAAGGTGCTAAAAAGGTGAGTTGGCGCGGCAGTGGATACTTTTTATGCACATGCTGGTCACAGCCAGATTTCTAGTTTTGCAGGTCACCATCTTCGGATTTACGAAATGCGTGTTTAGTGTTCTCGTAAGTAATTTGGTACATAATCTCTTCGAGTAAACTTCACTCCACGGGAAACCCGGTTTACCCGTTTCTGACTTTTGCTCATTATTAAATCATAGGCATCACTCGCCACTGTACGGTAGTTTCAAAAATATTAAGATATGCGCAGTTGGGAGTGGTCAAATATCTGCTTGGTCTTGTACAACGTTGGGTCGGTCGAACTTGGTTTGCTCGGAATCAGGAGTTATTTAAATCACGGCGTTGAACAACGCAAACAAACACTGTTGAATGAATAGTCTAAATCCACGTCTACCTGCGGCCCTCTCGATTTATGGCTGTCTCCAAATATTTATCGCCATTCACCGGTAATTCCCTCAGCTTTTAGAATACCTGTTTCAACATAGGCTCTGTGTGGTTTAGTACCGTCAAAGTTGTTCTTGCGAACTTCTTCCCACGCCTCCGTGACCCGCACATGACGAGATGGGAAGCGTCGGCATACGGAAACAAGCCAGGAAACGAGGCAAATATTTGTTCCCTCGCAAACAATAAGTCTCTCAAACGGTCATTTATACACAGTTTGGGTTTGCAATTGCGACGAAATCCGTAATCACCCGCTCTTTGTGCGTGTTTTCTGATCAACCGGTGTTTCGCACAGGGACCTGCGATAGATGTTTTTGGACATATTCCCAGCTCTCGTTAGCCGATGTTTCTCGTTCGCATTTTGACAGAAAGCTCCTTGATTTAAAAGGTTTTGTGAACACTGATTGTTGCGCCTTCTTCAGGAGCTTTGTGTTGGTTAGTGGTCTGCTCTCATTCAGCTTTGCTTCCGGGAACTTAGTGTCTCGTTTTCTTTTCGTTCGCCATTCCAAGGCGGTGGTCTTGTAGCTGTTCATATAGGCCTTATTCTGAGGTTTCTTCAGTCCTCACAATAACTTGTTGTGGGGAGTTCCCGTATTCACCCTTCCAAAGCACTCAGTTTGACAAACGCTCATCTCTGAAATCGCCCGCAAGTGGCAATAAATCTGTAGCACTTTATTTGCTGTCGCCTAGAGTATGAAGTTTCCGTTGCCTATCACGGACATTATATCCTGTTGTAGCAGGACAGTTTGCTAGGAAACTACATTTTCAGACAGAATATTTCGTTGCGATTTTCAAAAGAGATATTTTTGGTACTTGATATATTGTGAGTCTAATCGTTTATATTTTGAAATTTGTCTAACGTTGTACAAAGATTTATCATGGGTGAGCTCGACGTTATCTTTTTCCTTCCATTTTTGCACTATCTGCAACATATTAGAAATCGGTAACTGATCAATCAGACAATGAACAAAGAGGTCTTCAGACATAAACTACTTAAAGCAGCAATAGGATTCAGGGGATTCCAGCCACAACGCAGCACAGTTCGAAATCGACCATTTGGACCCCGAGAAGTGTATGCTCCCTTCAGCCAGTCACAGCCGTATAAAATCAGACAGGTATGGAGTAACTTCGACCCAACCACTCACTCATAATATCACTTCGGTTGGTGATGAAACATTTGCAAGCTGATCACTGCTAGCAGAGAATGGATGAACACCATCTTGATCAACGATCAGCAAACAGAAAATTTCCAGATCAGTTTTAGATAAAAACACACGGCTTCTTGGATACCCATGTTTGATATGCAGGATCGCCTCACCTTGGTTATAATATTTTGCGTCAGTAGTGTATATATTATGTAGATATTTCATTAAGCAGATGTAATCATGCTAACAAGAACGTCTTTTCGAATGAGCTGAGTGTGACTGTTCCAACGGCAAGGCGATGAGACTAGCTAAAGTAGAAAACTGCTTCCAACGATCTCCATGCATTGAACTCCATAGGAATCAACCAACAGACTTCCAGATAATCGAATGTTTATCCCCGTATTCACGTGGCCATGCAAATAGCAGATTAGTGGAAATTAATTCAGCTACTGATTATACACCGTTGGAAGAGCAGCAGCGAGCACAAATATGCAAAAAAAGTAGTCAGCTAGCCGGAGGAATATGACGCAACGGAACGATGCACTCCTCAGTTGATGGAAATCCTGTTCTTCTTGCTTCTATTCAATTCGGTCACATCTTTCTCTGAGGCCTGTCGCGACTACAACGCGGCTAGTCGTTGTGAATGTTGGTAAGATAATATTGTCTGCAAAACGTTGCATATGTATCAAGAGAACACTGAATTAGAAATGCTAAAATGCGACGGATGGTTTTTTACGGGTTGAAAAGGCTTACGTAAACCTATGTTGGCGCATTGATATCGGTAATTCTTTATAAAAATAATTCATGGTCAAGCTGTTCTACACACCAACCGAAAAATGGAACACAGTGTGCAAAGTTCGGAAGTCAATTTCAAGAGTGACATCCCCAGGAATTCAAGTTTGTTAGGTCTCGTCAAGATGACTTAAATTCCACCGTCACATTCTGTTTTACGAAGTTTAAGGTCGTCGGATACATGTTTTTGCGGTCGATCCATTCAGACTGCTGAGCAAACGTAGATACCATAAACAAAGAAGCTGATCGTATAAGGTCATTCATGAGGCGTAGATGATACGAAGAGCGCGTCAGCCGAGTTCTTCCTGACAAGACAACATACTGCTTTTTGCTTCTAGAGGGACAGCACGAATCTTTAATTGTATGAAGTTTGTGTATTGGGAATCATCATTGGTGCGCTTGATAGATGCAACTTATAACCGCTCGGCCACGAGCACCAACGAACAGCCTGATTTATCCGCACTAAGTCAGGACATAACATCGCTCATTCTTCAACCATGGGATCCACATCACTGGCGACTGACACATCGAGTGACTTATCTCGAGCTCACGAGAAATTTTCTCCTTGCCTTGCGACAGCTGTATGCCATGGAGTTGAACGACACCCTCGCCTACATGCATTCAAAAAAAATGTTCAACAAATTGGTGCTATACGTGGAGGCTTGCTACTCTGGCTCTATGTTTAAAGATGTTCTTCCTTCAAATATGGGAAGTAAGTAGCGTGAATTTCTGGCTAATTCTGTGAAATAGCATTCATATTGTCAATCACATTTGGCTTTAAAGCTGCGTTGACTAGTAAAACAAAACGAAGCTTGGGAACCCAGCTTGGTTATGAGCTTGGTTTATTCTTGTTCACATCACGATTTTTGTATGGAAGTAGGCCATGACTCTACGCAAGAAGCATTTAGCCGATGATAGCACAAAATCCAGCCTCCATCGATTAATGTCGTTTTCGCTGCTGAGCCAGTTTGATATATATTGTGAAAATCATTGTGTAACCGTTACAAGCCCTGCGATACCTTGGTGTCTCTTTGCAGGAACTACCAATGCCAAGTGTAAAACTTCATTGTATATTTTTTCAATGGATCGTGGGTCTTTTGTAAAAAGTACACTTCAACCCACGAAAAACAGGTTTTATGCTTATGGCGTGTCTACCTTTGACCGTTCTCGTTAGTGATCTTTTTCCAAGGGGTTTTACCGTAGATACAGGTTATATGTTTACGCGCTTATTTGATTTTGACGGCCCGACCCAGGAAAACCCATATAAATGTCTCTTTTATGAGAGTATTTGGCAAATTCCGCCCAGTCTAGGTTCCAGTCTTGATTAAATTTTAGGGAATGTCAAGGACTGCATCTACCTGATTCTCCACAAGAAGCACAAAAACCATTATGTTCTGTCAATGAAATTCCAGCGACTTTTTGAGTAATGTGTTAGTTCTGCAGGTCTTGCAGCTTCATTATTTCTGTGAGTCACACGATCCGTTCATCGATAATTTACCCCACTAATACACACATCGTTGATATTGACCCACGCTTTTTGTTCTGTTTTGTGAACCCCTAAACCTGCAGTCTACGCGACAACATCAGGCAAGGAAAATGAAAGATCCTACGGCATTTTTTGTTTTGACAAGGACATTGATGTTTGTCTAGCGGACGAATACTCGTATGCCTGGGTTTTAGATTCGAAATACGTAAGTTTCAGCAGAACTGTTGCAGATAAGCCTGTCAGTTGTGGATGGGTAGTCCGGTAATATTCATTAGCCAGTGTTAGTCCATTTGATTTTCTAAATCTTCTAATTGTTGTTTTTGAACATGAAGTGAATTTATGACAATTCAGCCATCATGGCCGTCTGGTGGCCCTGAAATAATCGAACCGTTGGTTGTATGTCCGGAATTTCTCACTATCCTCCCAATCAGGTTCGCCTTTGATCTTCCAGAGGAATATGGAAGAGACTAGCAAAAGTCTGGGTGCTATCAGTGTAATTCGCACTCTACGATGGATACCGCCTGCTTCCCAACGTGACTGTGCTTGAATCGATGTAATTGGAGTTCTTGTTATCATTTTCGCCTGACAAATTGTCTAGAGCTCTAGGCGCATCGGAATGAGCGTGGTAGGCCAGCACCAAATCCTTTCTCCATCTATGTTGATTCTTTTCTTTTGAATAGGGCTTTAAATGGATACTCAATGCAGTCATGGAAGCGTCAATGTTTAATGCGGATGTTTACAGTGATGACGTTGATTTTGTCGATGATAACGAAGCTGATGATGATAACGATGATTATGATGCTGGTGTATCTTCTGAACGCCTTCGTCTCAATACATCTGTTGAAATGAATCAATATGCCAATGGCGTTCATGCTGACAGTTCCTATCCAGATTGTGACTTGGTCTAGGATT